GTGTCGTGTCCAGATCCTGCCTTGCCAGCCTGTTTTCCCCCCACGGGGTAGTTTTTGTTGTTTATTTTGTTTTATTTGAATAAAAAGCCCTTATTTCCTGCAATATTGAGTCCTCGCCTCATCCCTTCATCCCCAACCCTGACAGTACGAACTGGCCAAAATGAGGACTCAGCAGAAGAAGGGTTTGCGTCGTCCACCAGCCTCCACTCTCTCCAGCCCCCACTACCAGCGCATGCTCCAATTTAAGACCTTGAGCTCCCTCCGTCAACAGGGGGCTGACGTGAGGAATTTTGCCCTGGAGTTCAGCGGTGCTGCAGAGGGGTTGGGGTTTAATGATGCGGCCCTCAAGGACCTCTTTAATTACGCCATTGATGAGCCCCTCAATTGGTGGAGAATGAGGGGGCTGGACCACCTGACGTTTGGGGGATTTGTGGAGTTTTTGGCACGTCCCCCAGCTGACGAAGCTGCTGCTCCCCCAGAGGCGGCTGATGAAGCTGCAGCTCCCCCAGAGGCGGCCGACGATGCTTCATTGCCCTGCTCTCGGAAACGGAGGAAGGGGAGGAGGAAGAATGGGTCCACCTCACCGCCCCTAGAGACGGCCGAAGAGGCTGCAGCTCCCCCTGAGGTGGCCGAAGAGGCCGCAGCTCCCCATGAGGTGGCCGACGAGGCTGTAGCGCCCCTGGTGGTGGCCGACGAGGCCGCAGCGCCCCCGGAGGTGCCTGATGAGGTTGCAGTGCCCGCAGTGGTGGCCGACGAAGTTGCAGGGCCCCGCTCTCGGAAACGGAGGTGGAGGAAAAGGGCTTCCTCCATCCCACATGGCCTGGAGGCAGTACTTCTCTTTACTTACTTAAGTAAAAATCTGTCTTTACAACTTTTACTTGTAATGGAGTAATATTTGACCAGCATTATCTGTACTTTCACTCAAGTAATGGAGTTGAGTACTTTGTCCGCCTCTGATTCTGAGTGAGCTGAGTGAAGGGAAGGATGGGTGAGGGAAGGAAGAGGATAAGGAGGAACCAATGCATATAAGACGTTTTCCCGCATTTTCTCTCAGTGAGATGTGGAAACGGATGTCTGTATGTTAATGCACTGTGTGTGTATTGTCCGTCTCAGAAGATCAAAGTGTCTGAGGTTCTGTATTTCTTACACCTTCATTGGCTTCCGGTTTCCCTGTATATAAACTTCAAGGTACTAATTGTCACTTAAAAAAAAATCTCCATAATCTTGGTCCGACATATTTATCTTACTGACTTCAGGCTTGTGCTCCTGTTCGCTCCTTACGATCTAGTGCGGGATTGTTAGTCACCCCTAAGTATAGTCTGGTGACTATGGGAGCCAGGTCTTTCAGTGTTGTGGCTCCCAGGTTGTGGAATGCTCTTCCTCAAGACATCCGTCAAGCATCCTCCCTTCTCTCCTTCAAAAACCTCTTTTCTCTGAATATTACTTTTCAATTCTCGGTCTGTAAATTGTACCTTGTTTATTTATTTGAATTCCTCTTTGTTTGTATCTCTAACCTAACTTTGCAAGCGACCTCTGTATATTACTTTCAGCCATTGGTATGTGTATTGTGGTTTGATGTTGATGTTTATTTGGCTCTTTTCCTTATTTGTCTCTGTAAATCGACCTTGGATGTTGGAAAGGCACTATAAAAAAAAAAATAATTATTATTATTATTATTATTATTATTATTATTATGTGTTAGGGTTACAAACTGGCTTTTAAGGGAATCAGCAAAACATGTTTTGTTCTTAATATTCAGTACTACTCAGGCTCATGAAATAAAATATTGCATATAAAATATTGAGATCTCATTTATTTGATATTAGGTTCTCAGTACTAATTATACTCCTATTTTCTTTATTTGAAGAAAAAATAAATAAAATAAAAAAACCCAGTGGTGTTTTGATTATTCATGGTAACACAAGTTTGTGGATGGTGTGTCTGTAACTTTTTCTTTTGGTCTCTGGGTGACGCTCTTATGTTATACACAGCTCAGCCAGTGATCTCATCTGTGCCGTGTGCCCTGATTCAATTGAATCAGTGTTACACAGCGAGCAGAGGAGGGGAGGAAGGAGGGATAGATGGGGAGGGGAATGCTGTAGGCTTGCAGAGGAAGGGAGAGATGAAAATAAAAATCTAAGCCGTCAGGAGCAGTCATCAGAGTGCAGTGTCTGCCCCAGCTATTTGAGGATCTGTTCAGAATGTGCTTTGATTGTCATTATTTTTATTCTTTTTCATTTAAATGTAGCCATTAATGATTCACAACATGACTTGTTTGTCAAGATGCGTTCGGGCCAATTTCTGGCTTCAGCTTTGTTTCTGCTTCATTTGCATGTGCGGTTGTCTCAGTGAAGTGCGTTATTCAGTTCCAGAGGAGATGCAGCAAGGCTCCGTCATCGGCAATGTGGTGAGAGATTTGGGAATAGATGTGACTGAGCTCGTGAGGCGCAACGCTCGAGTCGTTGCTGAGGGGAGCCGACAGTTTTGTGAGCTGAGCACAGAAACAGGTTCTCTGTTGGTGAGCGAGAGAATGGACCGTGAGGAGCTTTGTGCACAGTCTGCGCTGTGCATCTTGCAATTCCAACTGCTCCTGGAAAATCCGCTCAAAGTGTACAGTCTCCTCTTAGACATCCAGGACATTAACGATAACAGTCCGGCGTTTGACAACGGTCAGATTGAGCTGGAGCTACTGGAGTCAATGGTCCTGGGGAGGCATTTTCCACTTGAAAGTGCTCACGATCCTGACATAGGAGCTAATTCAGTTCAGCATTATCAACTCAGTGAGAATGAATATTTTGCTTTGGAGATGAATACCCAGGTGGACAGAAATGCGTATCCTGAATTGATCCTTAAAAAACCTTTGGATTGAGAAAACCAAGCTGATCACTTTCTGACTCTTAAGTGTATTGGATGGTGGCCGACCTTTTCGTTCTGGAACAGCATCAATTCATATTCATGTGTTGGACGCCAATGATAACGTTCCTGTGTTTGGTCAAAGTGTGTACGAAGTCAGAGCACTGGAAAATTCAGCTCGAGGCACTGTGTTGGTTAAATTAAATGCAACAGATTTAGACAGTGGGATTTATGGGGAAATTAGTTACTCTTTCAGTCACATGCCTGATAAGACGAGGGGGGTTGTGGAGGTCAACCCTGTGACGGGTGAGGTGAAGGTCATGGGTGCGTTGGATTATGAGGAGGCCAGTTCTCACGAGCTGGATGTACAAGCCAAAGATGGAGGAGGACAGTCATCTCACTGTAAACTCATTATAGATGTGATAGATGTGAATGACAATGCTCCTGTTATTGCAGTTAAATCAACTTCGGCTACTGTGCCAGAAGATGCTTCACCTGGAACCATGGTGGCTTTGCTGCATGTTTATGACCTTGATACTGGCACCAGTGGATGGGTCACATGTGAAATATCTGATGATGTGCCATTTAAACTTGTTTCAGAGGTAAAGAATTACTTCATGCTTGTGATTGATGGAGTTTTAGACCGTGAAATGTGTCCTCTCTATAACATAACTGTGACTGCTATGGATGCTGGCTCACCCCCTTTATTCAGCAGTAAAACTGTAGCCATAACAGTCATAGACATTAATGATAATCCTCCTATTTTTAGACACAGTGACTACAGCATCAAATTTGTAGAGAATCAGCCTCGGGGAACCCTGGTTATTAAGGTCACAGCTGATGATGCAGATGAAGGGCAGAATGCTAGAATCCTGTATTCTCTTTCAGAAGATGCAGCCTCTCATCTTTCCATCAATGCAGAAACTGGTGAGATATTTACTCTGCGCCCCTTTGATTACGAAACATCCACTCACTTCCATGTTCAAGTTATGGCACGTGATGAAGGCAGGCCATCGTTCACTAGCACATGCACTGTCCAGATTTTTATTGCAGATCAGAACGACAATGCTCCAGTTGTTCTTTACCCAGTTCAGTTTGATGGGTACCTTGCACATGACATTGTGCCTCGAGCTGCTCCTGCAGGTTATCTGGTCACCAAAGTGGTTGCAATCGATGCAGACGCAGGGCACAATGCATGGCTGTCCTATCGAATTGTAAAAGCTACACAGCCTAATTTGTTCTCCATTGGACTGCACTGTGGGGAAATTAGGACACTAAGGTCGTTTGCAGAAGATGAAGAAATCAAGCAGACCTTGATAGTCTCTGTGAGTGATAATGGGCTTGAATCTTTGTCTGCAACTGCAACTGTCAATCTTATGATAGAAGACGGCTTGCCTATCATCGATGAGCTCTTTGCACATGGCACAGATAAATCACATGGACACAGTGACCTTACTTTATATTTAATAATGGCTCTGGCAGGCATGTCTAGTCTTTTCCTTGTGCTCATCATTGCCGTGGTCTACATGAGATTATGTAGATACCGATATATGTACCGTTCAACTGCAAACTTACCCGTTTTTCCTCCTACCTACAGACCACCTGGCTACTATGACGTGAGCCGCTTCAATACTCTGCAGAAAGATGATCGATATAACTCATTCTTAACCACAGGCTCATGGAAAGGGGACTTCAGATTTGGTTCTGACTTTGTTGGTT